TTGATAATATTGTTGAAACTGCACATTCTATGGATGAAAGATTCAGGGCAACAGGATATATCAGAATTGCTCAAACTTATGAGGTTGCATTCATGTTGCATTTGATGAAAGAAGTTTTAGGAATTACTAATGATCTTAGTACATGTTTACAAAAAAAAGGAGCGAGACATTGCAAATGCCATGCTACTTGTTAAAGTGGCCAAGAGAAGGCTGCAAGAGTTGAGGGAAAATGAAAGATGGGATTTATTTGTTGTTGAGGTTTCTGCATTTTGTATCAAGTATAATATTGTGGTGCCTAATTTTGATGAGCCGTATGTTACTTCTGAAAGATCACGGTGTAAATCTGCTGATTATACTGTTTTTCATCATTATCGTGTTGAAGTATTTTGTAAAATAATTGATTGGCAATTGCAAGAACTCAATGATCATTTTGATGAGGTAACAACCGAGTTTCTTTATGGAGTTGCTTGTTTGAATCCGGTAAACTCATTTTCAAGTTTTGATATCCAGAAAATAATGAGAATGGCTGAATTATATCCTGATGACTTTGATGAACTTAGCATGTGTGCACTTGAGAATCAACTAGAAAATTACATTATTGATGTCCGTGATATCGATAAAAGGTTCTCTGATTTACATGGGATTTGTGATCTTTCAAAAAGATTGGTTCAGACAAAAAAACATTCATGTTATCCTCTTATATTTGGTTTGGTGAAATTCGCTTTGCTTCTACCAGTTGCCACTGCATCCGTTGAAAGAGCTTTTTCGGGAATGAAATTTATTAAGAATGAGTTGCGAAGTCGAATGAATGATGACTTTTTCAGCGGTTGCATGGTTCCTTTTATGGAGAAGGATATGTTTAAGGATGTTTCAATGGATGATATTATTTTGTCTTTTCAAGCAATGAAACCTCGTTGAATAGTATTGTAAACGTGCTTGAGAAGTATTAGCACTAACCTCTTTTTGGAGTTTGTAGTTAGCACTCTAGTCCTAGAGTGAGACATTACGAATGCTAATTTTTTTGTTCTAGTTAGCTCCATTTTTTGCTCTACTTAGCATCCTAGTTCTAGATTGACATATTGTAAAGGGCTAACTTTTTGTTTCACTGTAATCACTCTATGTTAGTTTCGGATTTCTTGTAACGAAACTAAACTTTTTTGTACCTATAAACTATATACTACTACTTCCTTGAAATTTTATTTTGTCGGCTTATTTACACATTTATACTTTTATTTTTCGAACCCCCTGAACTAAAATCCTGGGTCCGCCACTGGTCAAACCAAAGGACATAACTAGAAACTCATAATGACCATAACAGGTCTTGAATGTTGTCTTTGGAATGTCACATTCCCTTACCTCAACTGATGGTAGTCTGATCTGAGGTCTATCTTAGAGAAACAGGTGGCACCCTGAAGCTGATCGAAAAGATCATCAATTCTCGGAAGAGGATACTTATTATTGATGGTAACCTTGTTGAACTGGCGATAATCTATACATATTCTAAGGGAACCATCCTTTTTCCTCAAAAATAAGATCGGAGCGACCCATGGTGAGACACTTGGTCGAATGAAACATTTATCTAGGAGATCTTTCAACTGCTCTTTTTGCTCTTTCAACTCTACTGGTGCTATTCTATATGGCAGAATAGATATAAGACGAGTATCGGGAAAAATATCTATACTGAAGTCTATTTCTCTCTCAGGAGGAACTCCGAGTAGATCATCTAGAAAGACTTCTGGAAACTCATTCACAACTGAAACTGACTCAATAGGAGGTGTCTCAACACTAGAATCATTAACTCGGACTAAGTGATAGACACACCCCTTGAAAACTAACTTTCTCGCCTTAAGGTACGAAATGAAACGACCCTTAGGCACTGCTGAACTACTACTCCACTTTATAACTGGCTCATTAGGAATTTGGAACCTAACAACTCGAGTTCTACGATCAATGGAGGCATAACAAGCATGAAGTCAGTCCATATCTAGAATGACATCAAAATCTATCATGTCTAACTCAACTAAATCAGCCATGGTGTTCTTGTGATTGATGGAAATGACACAATCACGATATACTCGCTCAGCTAGAATAGACTCCCCAACCGATGTAGAAACACAAAAGGGTTCACAAAGTCGTTTCTCAGGAAGGACATCAAAATTCATTGCAACATAAGGAGTCACAAAAGATAAACTTGCTCCTGGGTCTAGCAAAGCATAAACATCAAGAGTAAAGACTTTGATACCAGTGACAACATCTGGAGAATTCTCTTGCCCTTGGCGACTAGTGATCGCATAAAGGCATTTGCTCCTCCGCCAGTACCGGAAGTAGCTCCTCTAGGTGAAGCCCTGTCTGGTGGAGCAACTGATGAAGATTGGGCCATATTGCCCTGATTCCCATTACCTTGCCTGTTCTTAGGGCACTCTTTCATGAAGTGACCCTCTTGTCCACACTTGAAACAACCTGTGGAGCCATCGTGACACTTACCTGGGTGAGTCCTACCACACTTTGCAGGTTAGAGTATGCAAGTATTAGTAATGAGAGAACTTGTGTATTATTTTAGGTAGGGATCAATTTTTTATTTTATTAATTTTATTTATGAAAAACTAAACTCCTAACCAATTATCAAATGTGTTACTCCCTCCGTCCCATTTTATGTGGCAACATTTGACCGGGCACGGAGTTTAAGAAATAAATGAAGACTTTGAAATGTTTACCAAATTGCCCTTTAAAAAGTAGACTCTTTTTTCTCTCTCCTCATAAATGTATTGGAGTATTATTTTAAGATTAAGTGGGACCAACAAGGATAAAAGAAGAATTGTACCTTTATAAACTTACCATATAAGGAAATGTGACATTCTTTTTGGGACTGACCAAAAAGAAAATGTTGCCACATAAAATGGGACAGAGGGAGTATTATTTATGCAGAATATAATACATGTATAACTCACTTCTAATTCAACTATCAAACAACCTTTAGTGCATAGACAACAAGCCGAAATCACACTCTAGTGAGATGGAGACGTACCCAAAACGTGGAGATGGGAGTAACTCCACGGGGCATCAAATATATATGTGGAAATAATAGTGTTAGGTGTGGGAGGGTTAAATTACAATTTACAAGGTTTCTAAGTCCTTGGCCAACGACGATTTTGACTTTATTTCCAATTTCTCCATATCTCTGTCCATAATTTCATTGTCATATGATAATCGATCCATATATATATCTGGGTCATTGCCACTTTTATTGTTATCATCCACTATAACAAATATGATATATAGCTACGAAATTATTAGCTACGACATAAAATTCGTCACTAATTATTTACTTTTAATGAAAAAATTTATTTTTTGTGCTTAAATATATGAGACATATACTTTTAGTGACGAAACATAAAAGTTTGTGGCAAAGTTTTGTCCACTAAAATTTCCCACCAAAAAATGAATTGACGCCATTTATTGAGTACTGTCAGTCACGAATTTAAAGTTACCAGTGACACATTATTTCGTCACAAATGATGTATCAGTAGAGTTTTGTCCACTAAAATTTCCCACCAAAAAATGAATTGACGCCATTTATTGAGTACTGTCAGTCACGAATTTAAAGTTACCAGTGACACATTATTTCGTCACAAATGATGTATCTAGTTCTTAATAAATTATTTTTGTCTTAAAATTAATTTATTTTTGGACACAAAATAATTTCGTCTCAAAAAATATATTGTTACAATAGCGACAAATAAGAGTTTGTAGGTAAATATTATAAGTTTTAGCTATAAAAATTTAGATTTAATTGTGACTTTTATTTTCGTCACTAGTAATATGAACAATTGGTGACAATAATTTTATTGTCTCTAATCAACCTATGATTTAGTGACAACAAAAAAATGTCACAAAATATGTAAGGTGTTAAATAGCGACGACTTAGAATTTGTAGTTGAATAATTCAACTATTTGCTACGAAAAAATTCATAGCTATATACAAAATTTTCTATGGCTATGATTGTTCATAATTATAGAATTTCATAAATGGTCCCTGAACTATTGAAGTAGGTCTAAAAATAGTCCCTTAACAATACATTTATCGGTCGATTTTGTAAAAATAAAAATATTCAATTCATCAATTTTCCTAAATTACGACAATTATAAAATGCATCATTTAGAAAAACACAATCTAGATTATAAGTACCGTGAGTGGGTAGTATTCTACCACTACATCATAAATATTTGTTGGCTTAAGACATTTCATTTCTTATTTTATACACTTTCATCGATAAAGAGTATAGAAAAAATAATTTCTCAAACCTTGATGCTTATTTTTGTGCGTGCCTATCGATTTTGTGGTGGGTAAACAATACAAACTAAGTCTATTGATTTGCTTCTGTCTAAAAATATATACATAATTAGTAGTGATTCCACGTACATAGAGCAATTATATAGAGATACTATCGACTTAGACTTTGCAAAGATGTGAAATATTTCATGGATTCTATTAACCTTTTTCATCCGTGTGAATATTGAAATAAACTAAAAAAAATGAAAGCACAAATGAAAGAAATTAACCAACTAAGATTTTGAATATATTATGATAAAGTACTATAGTTGTGAGTGTCAATGTTTTTAAAAAACATTGATTAACTCATTGAATCGAACCAAGTATTAGATTTCTTATAGTAAAATAAAAAATTTAATTTTATATAAATTTATAATTGTACTGAATAATTTTTTAATTTCATAATTGTACTGAATAATATGATATTGAAATACTATCTTTTCAAATATACATTGTTTTATTTTTAACAGTAGAAAATAAATTGTTCTTAATAAATTATTTTAGACGTCTTCTGATAAAATCAAATGTTTTGAACCAAAACAAAAGCTTTAGCAAGGTTCTACCAAGCATATTAAGAACTTTGAAAATCTTGATGTATTACTTTTTCGTGATAAATATAATGCCATTTGATATTGATTTGGTTCGACTATTTTTAGTTTTTTCAGTTTTATTATTATTTGGTTCAGCTATTTCTAGTTTTTTTAATTATTATTATTATTATTATTATTGTTGTTGTTGTTGTTAATATTAATATTGTTATTATTATTCGTGTTATTATTTATTGTTGTTGTTGTTGTTGTTGTTATTATTATTACTATTATTATTCTTATTATTATTGTTATTATTATTTGTTGTTGTTATTATTATTATTATTAGTATTATTTATATTGTTATTATTGTTATTTTTATTATTCGCATTATTATTATTATTATTGTTATATTATTTGTTATTGTATTATTATTATTATTATTATTATTTGTTATTCACAATTAATTTTATATTTTGTTTCATATGTAAATAACGAATCTGCAATTTTAAAGAGATGATGTATACAAATAATTTCATAAATGCGAAATAAATATTTGAGAAATAAACAAGTACGATGTAAAATCAAAATATATGAAGAGGTTTTACCAAATCGTCAAGGTATATATAATTTCTTGATTGATTTTTTTTAATTATTATTATTATTATTATTATTATTATTATTATTATTATTATTATTATTATTATTATTATTATTATTATTATTATTATTATTATTATTATTATTATTATTATTATTATTATTATTATTATTATTATTATTATTATTATTATTATTATTATTGTTCTTGTTGTTGTTATTATTTGGTTCGACTATTTGCTGTTGTTGTTGTTGTTGTTAATATTAATATTGTTATTATTATTTTTATTATTATTTGTGTTATTATTTATTATTGTTGTTGTTGTTGTTGTTGTTATTATTATT